TTTTGGCCTAAACAAGTATTTCTAGGCCCAAAATATGCAATCCTAGGCTTAATATAATCCTAGGTATAAGCCTAGGTTAAGTATAAGCAATATACAAAGTCTAGGGAAAGGTAGGTTCATTTGTTGTCTTCTCACAGCGGCCGTCTACAAATTAAAATCCTACAAGACGTGGAGTAAATGATATTTGGAACACACTCTGGCAACAGCTCCTACACGCACACACACACACACACACACACACACACACACACACACACACACACACACACACACACACACACACGCACACGCACACGCACAAGCAGGCGATGAGTCACAATAACGTGACTAAAGCCTGTTGACCAGACCACACACTAGAAGGTGAAGGGGCGACGACGGTTCGGTCCGTCCTGGACCATTCTCAAATCGATTGACCCAATCTCACCCAAGCTTATGACTGAGGCTGTGGCTGCCAGCGGGGCTCGACGCCACACAACAAACTGAAGATGATTTCCTTCGACAGTTCACAGCCAACACAATGTTTGATAATTGCTGTTTCGGTATGATATAATGTTGACCATATTCACACAGCATGATATTTCTCTAGATCTCTGGGGCCAGGATTTATCAACCATCTGCGAAACCTGTACATCCCTTCCTAACCATGACAGCTTTCTTTAATTTCTTTAAACATATTGCGAACGCATTAACTGTTTAATAAATGTTAACAAAGCTGCCAGGATTATGGGGAAGATGTACAGGTTTCGTAAATAGTTGCATAAACATTAATGTTGGTGCAGATCTCTGATAGCACTCGAACAGTCAAACGCGTCCCTTGAGCATATGCTTTGACTTGGGTGCTCTTCAAAATATATATGACTGGAATAGCTGCCTGATACTTCTAAAGGTTATACATACAGGAGTCAAGTGTATTAAAGCTACACTGTGATTTGTCACGATTGATCAGAATGGTGCAATCAGCTCAATATGTTCTAAATATTTAGATTTTCTCTCTCACTCACTCACTCAGAACTCGCTCACCTCGTTGAAGTAGGGACAGTTGGTAGACTGTGTCTACTCGGGACAGTCTCACATTCACTCACAACTCACTCTCACACTCTCACTCACTCACCTCATTGTAGTAGGGACAGTTGGTAGACTCCTTTACCGAAGTATACTTCTTCTGATCTCCCACCTGCACACACACCACGGGGTCCATGTTGAGTCCCGCCAGCTGCCGCGCCTCGATGATCGTGATACACACCTGCAAGACACACACAGGTGAGAAGCTAGGTAACACACCACACCTGCAGGACACACACAGGTGAGAAGCTAGTTAACACACCACACCTGCAGGACACACACAGGTGAGAAGCTAGTTAACACAACACACCTGCAGGACACACACAGGTGAGAAGCTAGGTAACACACCCCACCTGCAGGACACACACAGGTGAGAAGCTGGTTAACACTACACACCTGCAGGGACACACACAGGTGAGAAGCTAGTTAACACAACACACCTGCAGGACACACACAGGTGAGAAGCTAGTTAACACACCACACCTGCAGGACACACACAGGTGAGAAGCTAGTTAACACAACACACCTGCAGGACACACACAGGTGAGAAGCTAGTTAACACACCACACCTGCAGGACACACACAGGTGAGAAGCTAGTTAACACACCACACCTGCAGGACACACACAGGTGAGAAGCTAGTTAACACACCACACCTGCAGGACACATACAGGTGAGAAACCCGTAACACACACACACACACACACAACTCAAAAGTCCCAGCGTGGGAAACCGAGTGAATCAAATACAACACAAGGAAAGCTTTTCAGTACACCCAACACTTACTGGCCTTACCAATGTTGACAATGGACTTGTGTTTATCTTTATATAGCAAACAAACCTCAGATCACACACACACACGGCAGCGTGAGGCCCAAACAGGCTACTCTTCTTAGTTTTGTTTACACCAGAACTCTCCATTAGCTCCTTAGTGATCAGAGTGATCTTAGTCTCACTCTTCTCTAGTAGCAGCGTTAATAACCTTGTGGTTTCTTTCAATTAAAAATGTTTTTATAGTCTTACACTAACATTTATATTCAGATGACAGCTTATTATATTTTCAATCAGCATAATTTAACTCTAGGGTATTGTTTATTCAATTTTTTTCTCAAATTTACAGCCATTTCAAAACTGTAACATATATTAATTGATGTAGTCTATGGAATGCATGCAAGATGTAGCATAAAATGTTGCCCCCATGCTGCCCCTGTGCCCAGGGCACAGGAGCAGCCTGGCTCACACACTCACGGAACACACAGCTCATGTAACACACATTTGATTTCCTTGCGCCTCACCAAACTAACTCCTTGTGACAGCAACGCCACACTAACAAGTACCCAGCTAAGTGTGTGTGTGTGTGTGTGTGTGTGTGTGTGTGTGTGTGTGTGTGTGTGCGTGCGCTTTCCTTGTCGACTGGGTATTTTATTTTGTATACACCTTGTGCCATTGTACACATTACTTGTTCTAAAATGAGTAATTTGTACAATGTGTAAAACGGTGACAAGTTCTGGCAAAGATAGAGCGGCCGATGACAAGCGAATTCGAGTCAAAAGGAGTGAATGATCATATCTGTCCTGCCTTGTAATACTAGGGAGCCTCGTGTGCCTTGAATTTCGTTTGACATCTATTACTTGGCTTGCGTCAGTTCAACGGGGAAATTCATTCATGTTCAACGGGGAATTCCGTCATTATTAAGGAATTAAACCCCTCGTCGTTTCATGTTCAGGTTCTGAAACTCCTTACTACAGCTCGCTCAGCAAAACATGAGTGATCGGTGATCGTGTAATTTGGTGATTTACAACAGTTCCAAAACTGCAGTTCATTTCGCAGTAACGACCGTAATGAACAGCAAATTACGTAATGTCAAGCAAGTCTGACGCCGGACGGCCCTAGCGAGGAGAGGTCACGAGACGCAAGAAACTCTAGGAAACAACATCAATGTTGATACGAGTAACCTCTAGTTCCCTGGAACCGCGACTATTACCACGCAGCAGACAGGGGACACAGGAGGACGCAGCAGACAGGGGACACAGGAGGACGCAGCAGACAGAGACACAAGAGGACGCAGCAAAGACACAAGAGGACGCCGCAGAGACACAAGAGGACGCAGCAGACAGGAACACAAGTTCCGGGGATACAGAGAGAGTAGGTTCACCATAAACACAGCTGCCCTCCAGTACTTACAGCTCGGCGTTAAAGTTTAATTTTGGGATATTGTACCAGAGGGGACCATAGAGGCCGGACCGGCGCAACAGTTGCCTGCCTCAACCACACATGCAACCATCTGTAGCTCAGAGAGAGAGAGAGAGAGAGAGAGAGAGAGAGAGAGAGAGAGAGAGAGAGAGAGAGAGAGAGAGAGAGAGAGAGAGAGAGAGAGAGAGAGAGAGAGAGAGAGAATAGAATCGATAACAACCGGGTGTGTTGAAAGTCTTTGAAATAAACGCAAAAAACGCAAACACGCACACAAGCACGCCCACGCATGCCCGCACGCGCACGCACACACACACACACACACACACACACACTACAACACCCTGTTGACTTACCATTAGCCTCACACACGCCACTCCCGCGCCTGGTAATATACACGCAACAAAAAGCCACATCTAGGTTTGTTTACTGTCAAGTCTGGAACCCAACTTAAAAAATTAAAACAAAATACGTTCCCTTAACACTGTAGGTGAAGAAACTGAACAAGTCGAGAACGACAGCCAAGTCTGTTTACCAAAGTCTCAAGGAGCATTATAAGCCTTATGCCAGGGTTATTTCCCAGAAACTACTTTGAATATCTTAAATGTTTAAAATGAAATAGACTGCCGAGGTGGTCGAAGGTAAGCAAGACTTAGAAGCAGTGGTCCCTTTGAGACGTCTTGAAGAAAGAGGTCTTTAATCTGCTTGTAAAATCTTAAAAGTTTTCGTCTGTTTTTTCCCAAAGAGTCTGGACATGGAGGGGAAGGTTCAGACCGATACATCTTAGTTACACTTCAAGGAACAATAATAATTGATCCAGCTGACCTTTGCTGATGTAAATCATTTATTTACTGGGTCTGTTGGAAAGTTATAGTGTCAAGACGAGGCAGCAACATTAGAGGAGGATGGAAAAGAGTTAGTGACCGTCTTCGAACATTGTCTCAGGCACGGTCTCCCTACTCCGTCTCCTCCCTACTCTCATCCCACACTCACAAGGCAGGAAAAAGAAGGTGTACATAGCTCTCCTGAAACTTTCGACTGGGAATTTACCGCCATAAACAACAAGAAATATTACCCTGACCCAAAATAATGTAACTATCCCGAGAAAGACTTTGGTCCACACTGTCACTTTATCAGATGCAGGAGGGATATGTGCGATTGGGTTCGTATGTCGACGGGAATATGCTTTTAGGGTAGTATATCTAGTATAATATGTTAAAAGGAGAAGGTTTAATTAGTCTGTGCCCCGAGAGAGAGAAAGAGAGAGAGAGAGAGAGAGAGAGAGAGAGAGAGAGAGAGAGAGAGAGAGAGAGAGAGAGAGAGAGAGAGAGAGAGAGAGAGAGAGAGAGAGAGAGAGAGAGAGACACACAGAGACACACACAGAGACACAGAGACAGAGAGAGAAAGAGACAGAGAGACAGAGAGAGAGAGAGAGAGAGCGAGAGAGAGAGAGAAAGCATATTAATGTTTGTTATCATGGTATAGCATTCATACTGAAGAGAAATGTGTGCTCCCGGGAGTGGAGGTCACAGCACGGCGTCTACCTCTCCTTGTCTCTAAGCAGTGATGACATGAAGCGAACTCATTTTGCTAGTGCTTTGTTTTCTCCTCTATGATTCCACTTTGTTAATTCGTTCCCATACACCAAAAAGAGGCTGGGTTTCGGTATTGATTCTCTGTGGTAATCCACACTTCACTGAGCACCAACCTGCCTTCTTCCTTTGTTTGTGCCACGTAGCGTATCAAAGGCCTTTTGACAATCCAGGAAAAGACTCATATTTCTCTCGGCTGTTTGACTGAAATCAAATTGCCAAAGAATCCGAGGAGATTTGTGAGACATGACTTTCCTACACTAGACCCCACACGCTGGCCCTGGAAACTATGCTTTTCCATTCAAGGTGTTCACAATGTCGTCTACTAATTATTCACTCTAGTGTCCTGAAACACATTCGTATCAGTGATATAATTCTATAGCTCAGTGCCTTCTGTACATCTCCATTGTTATATCGGTAACGAATTTGCTTTCTTTCAGTTGTTAAGCAGTTCTCCTCTCTTAGTGAGAGCATTATATGTCTAGTGGCTCACTCACGATCTCGTCTGCTTCTTTCAGTAACTAAGGCACCATTTGTTCTGATTCTATTGCCTGTGTCACGTCTTGATCTTCAATACGTATCCTTACCTTCTCAGATGTCACGTTAATGGCATCGCGTCCTGCAAGATGCTCTGCTGACCTCTTCATCTAGACGTCCCCAGCTTTAATTCCGAGTTTTAGTTCTATTTATTTTTTTCTTCAATTTTTATGTAATTATTTTAACCGCTCGTGAAGATAAGGCGGGTTTTCTCCGCTTTGAACTTCGTGTTTCTTGGTATTCACTTGTTTATTCCTTGAGCTTCAAAGGCCAGCTGTTAACCCATGTTATGGGTTAACAGCTGTTAACCCATGTCTTGGGTTAACAGCTGGATAATGCTATTTTTTACTCCTCAGTTTCTTCAAGTTAGGATGAACCTATTTTCAGCTGCCTTACAGTAATGAAAGATAATTTTTGCTCTGAAAATATGGTTCATGTGAAGTCTGTATCAATTTTCACCAGGTACGGTGTTTTTTTTTGTAATTTCAATCTTTGATTATAAATGCCAAACCTGCTGATTCTTCATTTCCTTTTTTCCTGTTATCTTCACAATCTTTTCCCTCTTCCATTTTCATTAGAGAAAGATTGACGTCCCTTGGCCCCTTCCTTCATTTCAATCACTTTATTGGACACTCCATCTACATTTATATATGTAGAGGAGATGCATAAGTGTACCTAGAAGTACACTTAAGATATATTTCTTTCGCTACGCTCTTATAAATTCTCAAAATGATAATCGCATAAGGACTTAGAGAAGTGCAAGGAGTAGCATAAGTGTAAGGTGATTAGTGATTAGCATGTGATTAGTGCAGTGTGGCTTGGGGTGTGGAAGGATTAGACTATTGGTCGCTGATGTATGTATGAATGGAAGTATGAGACCTCTGAGGTATGTGGGGGTATTCATGTAAGGGCATGTATTTGTGTGTTGTGTTTGAGATGCATACTTTGTGCAGATATGTATGATTATGTGTGCTGCATATGTGGAGTATACATGGAAGCAGGCAGGTGTTATACAAACGACTCTTTATCAACACATACCTGAAAATCTTGGGCCTTCAGTTCAACTGGAGTCGAGTTCACTGTCTCAGATTTGTGTCTGAAAATAATCATATTAATAATAATTAAAACATGAAATACAAACAACCTCAAGTATAATAATCATTCTAAAAACAATTACAATTAAACCAGTTATAGAAAATTATAAAAAAAATGGAATGTTTTAAAACATGTGAGACTATAGATCCCTCAATACCGTTTTCGTATTCTGAAAAATAGTCACAAAATTCAGCATCAATTAAAACAAGCTGTTTGTAGCTTTTGTTAATATTTTATTGTACTAGAATACGTCCCGTGTTTTTCTTGGCTTTCATTCTCCCAGCTTTGTATAGATCTGTTCTGGAAGGTGTTTTATACCTGTATGGTTGTGGACAACTGCCAGCTCGCCTGACTAGTTCACCCCTGGGTGAATTTTGTATAGATCACACACACACACACACACACACACACACACACACACACACACACACACACACACACACACACACACACACAGAGTGGTAGACGGTTGGAACAAGTTAGGGGAGAAGATGGTGGAGGCCAAGACCGTCAGTAGTTTCAAAGCGTTATATGACAAAGAGTGTTGGGAAGACGGGACACCACGAGCGTAGCTCTCATCCTGTAACTACACTTGGGTAATTACACACACACACACACACACACACACACACACACACACACACACACACACACACACACACACAGTGGTAGTTCAGGGGGTCAGATTCACGAAGCAGTTACGCAAGTACTTACGAACGTGTACACCTTTCCTCAATCTTTGACGCATTTGGTTACATATGTTAAACAGTTTACAAGTATGAAAACTTCCCAATCAACTGTTGTTATTGTTATAAACAGCCTCCTGGTGCTTCGGAGCTCAATAACTGTTTAATAATTGTAAACAAAGCCGCTAAAGATCGAGAAAAGGTGTACTGGCTCGTAAGTTTTTGCGTAACTCCTTCGCGAATCTTGCCCCAGATGTATAAGTGCGGCAGGTAGCGGCTCCGAAGACCCGCTTCAGGGCGCTAATTACAAACTGAACGATAGCCCAAGATGGATTACTGAAGCAACCTCTTTACATATTTCTTTAGTCAAATACGTTAAGATGCATGATCAATTTGACCAGTTGCATTAATCAGTCAATAGCGGCTGAAGCTCGACTTTCCAACAAACACAGCTAGGAACATAACCCCAGGTGACTCGCCCAATCCAGGGACCAAGGGTTCGATTCCCCGCCAAGACAAAAACAGTTAGGCAGAGTTTCTTGCATCTGATGTATCTGTTCAACTAGTAGTAATGAGTACTTATCCTGAGATAAGTACTCATTACTACTACCCTGTGTGTGTGTGTGCACAGGTCAGCGCCACCGTCGCTGAACAGAGGCAATTAAAAACTCGACCCTTTGGTTCTCTCGGCCGTAAGAGCTGGAATGCTTTGCTTCCTAGCGGTCGATCATTGGCCTTTTTAGTTTTTTTTTTATTGTGAATGTTTGCAGCAGCTTACTATTAAGATGCTGACGAGGAGATAAGTTAAGGCATGGAAGCTGATTTTCTGCTCCTCCATCTAATCGCCTCTTCCCTCCTCGCGGAAACGCCGCCGATATGAACAAATCCACAAGGTACGTGACGAAGATTCGAACCTGCGTCCGAGAGCATCCCAGACGCTGCCTTAATCGACTGAGCCGCCGATATGTTTGTCTTATCTGTATTTCTGTTTCTAAAACTCTCGCTGTCTCCACATCTCATTCCCTGTGTCTGTAATCTAACCAGTTATCAGCCATTGTAACCTTCCTGCGGCGGGTGGATACGTGTCAGGGTCACAGCTTAAGGAATGTTGGCGAATTGTTCAGATCGTAAAGAGGCATTTGAAGTGACCCTCTTAGTCTCCTCCCGGCCTGCCTCCCCCGTCCATCACAACTCCTCACACACTTCCCGAGGCGACGCACCTCTCTAAATGATGCTAAATGAACCATGGAAGCCCAGGTGGTTACTGGCTGTCCTCAGCTGTGTGTACAGTCATGGATCTGTCCCAGCGGTTTCCTGGAAGCTGCAAAAAGAAGAGGAGGAAGGAGAAAGAGGAGGAAAGGGGGGGAGGAAATGGAAGAGGACCAACAAGACCTGGATTTCTTCCGGAACCATCAGGTGCTGAGGATTAAGGTCCCCGTCGCCGGCAACTTCAGCTCAGGCAGCAGCTTCAGTACACACAACACTTATCAAGTACAAATTCCAGAAGAAAAAAATTACAAGCCTGAAGAACTAATATCGAGCACTCTTAGATATTACAAGAGTACCAACACTGCCTAGATATTACATGATTCATCCACTGTAACCTGGGATACTGTTGCAGTTCCCCTTCACTGATTGACTGATGAAGATTAAGCCACCCAAGAGGTAGCATGGGCATGAATAGCCCGTAATTCCCCTCATACCTGAGTACTAAATATATAGAAGATCACCTCAACAAACCCGCAACTATGAGGGGAGGGATCGGGAAATTCCAACAAATATGAGGGAAGAACAAAGTCCCTGGAATCTATGAGGTGGAAACAGGTGTCTTCCGGTAACCCAGAAGTCGAGATGACAATATTAATTCGAGATGATAGGGTCGAAGTCGAGATGACAAGGTTTAATCTTCATCTCGACAGAGGATGATCTACGACACTCGTGCCCTCGACTATGAGGGGAACACCAAGGAGGGGGGAGAGTTTATGACTGGAAGGAGAGTGCATGATATGAGGGAACTGTATCTGACGAGGGGAGATTGTCTGACAGAAGCCGGAACGACTAGTGCCTGAAGGTGTGTTTGGGGGGGAAATAACTGACGGGAAATGTCAAAAGTGTGTGTGTGTGTGTGTGTGTGTGTGTGTGTGTGTGTGTGTGTGTGTGTGTGTGTGTGTGTGTGTGTACCTAGTCATTCCAGCACACACGCGCAGGGTCAATGGGAGTGCCAGTCAGCATAGCACACACACACACCGGTCACCACAACCAGACAGTGCTTGGCATCCAGTCTGTCCCAGTTGCTCTATAACCCACCATGACCCTAGCAATAGAATCAAGCCCTGGATACCCCCTGGGGTCAGCATACAGCATGAATACCACAGCCAAGTCGCTTACAATTGCTGCAAATGGGTCCAAAAATGACAAATAAACTCAACGCATTGGACCTATATAACACGTACATATATCATTGAAGGGTATACTATTTCCTCCCACTCCTCCAACACACACACAAAAATATGAATCCAGAATGATTTGTTATATATAAATAAGGTCTACTCGCCACAAGAGCCTGGCTAACGAGGTGACCTTTACAGTGGGACACCAATCCATCTGGCCACTTCAGACACGAGCATTAACTTCGCGGCCAAAAAAGGCCCACATATTCCTCTCCGTCTCTGGACGTTGACAATACACAAGAGCCATTTTTAACAATTAACCAAATGGTCTATACGGGAAGGCCTGTGGAACTTATCGGGCAGTGGATCAGTTTTAATTTACCAAGAACGAGATCGCTAGATAGAACGAATCGCCTGGATCTCGATTAATGAATTGGTACACACACTCCGAGGACACTTTGTTCACTGGTGGTTCACTGCTGGAGAATTATCTACGAGTGAACTAATTCTTGTGTTTGAAGTCACCATCGCAGCTCGGGGAAATGATAGGAAGGTTCATCTTAATTCAGGCAGGATGACAGAGAACTAGGAGAGAGGAAGGGAATTATCAGGGGGGAAAGCGCCAAGACATTACGACTATATAGCACTTGGAAGGGGTCAGGATAAGGATTTGGGATGGGATGGGAGGGAAGGAATGGTGACCAACCATTTGGACGGTCGGGGATTGAACGCCGACCTGCATGAAGCGAGACCGTCGCTCTATCGTCCAGCTCAAGTGGTTGGTACAGATAAAGAGATTGGAGACGAAGGTCAGGGAAGCCTTGGGAAGATTGGGGGACGCGATTAAGGTCGCTTTATGGAGATTTGAAACGAGGCTAAGTGAGATTGGAGATTGGTGGCCTTTGATGACAATACAACAATACAAATGGGAAGAAAACGGAATAAGGAAAAAAACCAGGAAAATTTGTGCGTAGATATAAGAGGAAAACCTGCCATGAAGGCACAAGTGAACAACCAGCATTGTGAAGCTGGTGAATGTGTGTTAAGCCTTCAGCAACCCGTACAAACACGCCACAAACAGGTTATAACCTATTCATGTTAACTGATAAACCACATGATGGGATTTCCTGCTTTAAAACACAAAGAAGGTCCTAGCTGTTTTCTAACAGTCTGGTAGCTCTCAAGTTGCCAATGACAGATTGTAAACTAAAGAAACATCTCTACACAATATTTATTCAGGTTATATTCCGGTTCTTAAGTTTTTTTTTTCATTTTCTGTGGCTCATCTTCAATGAAACTTTCCTGTCGAGGGTTTGGTATCTTAGGGCTGTTAGTTTTAGCGGCACGTCAAGATCAGTTTGAAAATTCCTGAAGAATTGAATAAGTACTATAAAATGTATTTAATGATTCTTCTTGTGTCTTTCCTATCATATTGTTTATGTAACTTTTGAGGCAGTTTTAGCTGATCTTTGACTTTGAAGGCCGTGTCATTCTCGACATATTTCTCTTCTAATTCCACTTCACTCGTTGGTTGCTCCAAGTGCATATGTCGTCATTCCATTTAGCTTTGTCTTCTCTGTGTCCATCCATCCTCATTTCCTTCTATGTTATGGCTCCAGGGATTCTCATACCAAGAGGTAATGTTCGTCTTCTATGGCCGGCATGACTCTTCTTTCATCTTCTCTGCGTCTGATCTTTATGTAAGCTGTCTTGAGTGGTGTATTATGGGCTTTCTTATGGAGTTTTCTCTCTAGGAGCTCCCTCATCTTCTGAGACTAACATCCTTTAAAGGATGTTAGACTTCCATTCTCTTCCGCCCTACTAGCCTGTTTCCCTTTTATTTCCTCCCTCCCTTCTCTCCTTACCTTCCTCCATTCATGTATATATCTCTCCCTACCCAACTTTTTCCCTTCATCTATCTTTTT